AAGGAAGAAAGAAAGGAAGAAAGAAAGAAAGAAAGAAAGAAAGAAAGAAAGAAAGAAAGAAAGAAAGAAAATGAAAGAATGAAAAACAAAAAAGAAAGAAGACAACAAAAAACAACAACAACAATGACAAGGGCAACAACAACAGCGACAACGACGACAACGACGATGACAAAGACGATGACAAAGACGGCGACCGCGAGGAAATAAAACACAAACAAACAAATCACAAACACCAAACACTTTCTATGGTCGCTTTTAAGGACAACGGGCTAATCCAAATTTCGGGGGTTTCCAGAAATCTTGACTTACACCAAAAGTGGGCATTGCCCTACCTATAGGAGAAGTTTGGTTGGTTGCATTGGTGTGAATATTTGTTTGGCTATATAGAAAACTCTCTTCGTCTTTAAAAAGAAACTGAGCAAGGGGCAAGAACTTTACCTTCGATTTTCTCAAATCAGCATTTTTCGGGATAGCTCTCTTGTGCGTAAAAGCGACCATATGTCAGCTGACGTAAAAAGACACTCACCAGTCTGCCAGCTCTGTTATTGTGTAGGTTGATTTGACTATGGATGTCCCGTGCTGCTTCTTTCAGGTCCAGGAACTTCCGGGCGTACTGACCGCCAAAGTTGATGTTGTGGGAGCAGCCTCCCCACTCGAACGTCTTCTCCACATTCTGCAGTCCCCTCTGGTGGCGACCTGAGCAGTGGATGGAACAGCCGGGGGACATATGACATTTATATTTGGCAATATAATCACGGAACAGACAGACACATAAGCCGTACTGGCAGTTTCGTCATGGACATTTTAGGAAAATAAAAAGACATACTTGGCAATGATATGATCACTGAAAGCAGGGGAAATAAGTCACATTTAGCTATATTATAGTCAGATATTATAGATTCAAGAGAAAAACAAGCTGTATTTTACAAGAATTTGATTACAGTAAAACGGAAAAATAGCCATATTTGGCAATATGATCACATAAAATCCAAGGAAATAAGCCATATTTGGCAATATAATCGCAGAAATTGCAGAGAAATTAATCACATTGCCTAATAGGATAACATGTTATGAACATTTTAACAGTATGGCAAAAATAGCGATATGTTTTATGTGAGAAAACACTAATAAAGCAAAGGAAATATAATATGATTACTCAACACGCGTTTAATTTAGTTTGTTTCTTTGATTATTCGCTTGTATTCTTGTTGTTTTGCTGGGGGTTTTTAACGTGGGTGGATGGGTTGTAGCTTTTTTGAAAATGTTTTTTGTGTTTGTTATTTGGTGGGTTATTATGTTTTATTTTTTGTTGTGAGTTTGTGTGTTTGTTTTCTTTTGGGTAGAATCTAGATATGATGGAGGGTGCGGTGGCGGAGCGGTTAGTGCGCTCGTCTCCGAAGCGGAAAGTCCGGGTTCGAGCCTCATTTCGGACAAGTATTTTTTCGCCCCCTCCTGCCCACCCAGCAGTAATGGGTACCTGACTTCCGAGTTGGGGAAGTAAAGGCGGCGTGGAAAGGAACTGGCCACCCTACCACAATATACCGAAGGCCCAGGAAGTTGTCTCACTAACAAGATAATCCCAACAATGTCCGGATCGGACTCGGGAACAACTTTAGTTAGTTTTAGTAGAAGTCCTACGGTACACACAACTGCCTAAGGTCATATGAGCGCCAGAAGATTATAGGTGTTACAAGAGAGTAACAGATATAAAAAAAGAAAGAAGAGGAGATAAGGACGAAATATGTTTCCTAGGAAAGAAGATGAAAACGACACCAGAGCACCCGTTAACCACCCAAGAACAACTTTCGACAATATGATGAAGTAACTCATTTTGTCAACACGCTTCACATTTTATTCTCTGTCTTTCCATTAGACAATAATAATGGTGAGGACAAGCACTCACCTCTCCTGCCGTGCACGCTCATGTCACAGCCACAAGACTTGAGCTTGCCCATGCTGCAGGCCTTGGACACCTGGTGGGTCACTCCTGCTGCAGAGATGGCATAGGCGAAGGCGGTCTCCTTATAGCCTGGGTGGATGGGAGAAACGCGGTGAACGATTTGTGGCACGACACGATGGAATCGGGTTCTCGTCAATTTTTGAACATGGTGAGTTATTGGTATCATCTGAAAGCTTGTTCATTTGACTTCCTTTGTTTGAAAAAAATATCAATTTATCTCAAATAGAAATCGAGATATTTGCAAATGAAGGAGGTGGAGGTCCCCTGATTTTAGAGGTAAACTTGACGAGAAAATGGCCACCAAAGATGAGTAATTTCTTTAGCTTGAGAATCAGTGGAAACTGAAAATTTACATTTTTTATGCCTTTAATCAACGTTTTTCAGTAAAAAATCAACACAAAAAAATGCGCTTTAATAGGCATGGAAGGTGTTGGGGCCAAAAAACGAAAATTCGATAAAAATTCACAAACCTGTGGAAAAATACCAGTTTCTTCTCTTTGATTTTTTACGAGCGCCTGATTTTACAACGCTGCCTCACATTTAAGAATGTAGGGGAGACATAATAGCCGGATCAGCAGCAGGGCAAATACAATTGTTCGGAAATTTTTTATTTTTTTTTTATTTTAGTAGAAGTTTTACGGATCTCGCAACTGCATAAGGTCATATGATCGCCAAGGGGTGGATGTCAACAGAGAAGTCCTTACAGGGAATCAGACTTACTCTGCTTACCTCTTTAGCTTCAACAGCACAAAGTCTGCTTCGACTATCAAGGCACCCCGGAAATAGCGGGTCACAAGAGAGTGACACACATTCAAAAGAAGTAGAGGAAAATGGGCGATAGTAAGGATTAGGAAAGAAAAGGCAGCAGTTCCCTGTTGTAGTTCAGGCATAGTTATGAGCATAACATTGTTGGATCAGCCCATTTACAATTCTACTGTACATTAGAACGAGAAATGTCTCCCCTTTGGGAATGGCCTAAAGACACTCCAGTCAGTTGCCCGGGTTGGGGGGGGGGGGGTTATGTTTCGGAAAATGTCAAACCAGAATAAACAAATAAGAAACGCAAGTGTGCATAATATTTCACAGCATGAGTACTGCTGCATGCCTTTTACAGTTTCAGAGAAAGAAACTTGGGTCTCTTGCCTGATACAGCGAAGTGCTTAGTCTTTTCGCCACAGAGGTTGGTTACGTCCCTTGGAAATGTCAATTTAGTACAAACTAAAACATAAACTCGTCTTTTTAATTCTATTTGTGGTACCACTTTAGCAAATTTGGCAATGTGGGGAAAAACACCGAGCATCAACAAAAATACTAACACCAATGATTTATTTCCAGAACCATCAACTATCTATTTTGGGCAATCTAAGCTTGACAAGAAAGTCTGCCACGCTCCCAAGTAAATTATTAGTGGAAATGTTAACCTCGTGGGGAACGCTTTCAGTAAAGAGTGCTTTGTGCAGGCACGGAGCAAAGTTCATTAGCAGACAATTAGAATCATTATCCAGATCGCAGCCTTACCCCGCCAGCGGTGGTGTTACTTCATCCACGGTAGACTCTAGCTTGAGCTTTAAAGTCGTAGCAAGATCAGGGAGTTATATTTTACTTGGGGCAGATAGACAAGGAGGAAATCTGCACGTTACCTACACATCTGTGTTTCTATCTATCTATCTATCTATCTATCTATCTATCTATCTATCTATCTATCTATCTATCTATCTATCTATCTATCTATCTATCTATCTATCTATCTATCTATCTATCTGTATGTCTGTTATTCTGTCTGTCTGTCTGTCTGTCTGTCTGTCTGTCTGTCTGTCTGTCTGTCTGTCCGTCTATCTATTTATTTATCTATCTATCTATTTATCTATCTATCTGTCTGTCTGTTATTCTGTCTGTCTGTCTGTCTGTCTGTCTGTCTGTCTGTCTGTCTGTCTGTCTATCTATTTATCTATCTATCTATCTATTTATCTATCTATCTGTCTGTCTGTCTGTCTGTCTGTCTATCTATCTATTTATCTATCTATCTATTTATCTGTCTGTCTGTCTGTCTGTCTGTCTGTCTGTCTGTCTATCTGTCTGTCTGTCTATCTATCCTCCCCACACCCCAAGCACTTACAAGATCGTGGCACCAGCACATGCGTGTACCTCCATCTCTTTTGCTCTCATTAAGATGGAAGCGATAAGTTACAAGACAGAAAAAAGCAGGAACAGAGAAAAAGAGAAACAAATAAGGCGGGGAAACGTGTTGTTCCAGCAGCTGATCAGGGGAAGACTGAGGTAAACAGATCCGGTGCAGACTGGGCAGTGGCCAAAAGTTAACCCTGACACGTCCAGCTAATGAGCCGCCCATTAACCCCAGCATGGGCTCTACACAAGCCGTGTCTACAACTCGGTCTGCTTCCGCTTATGGAGCAATCAGGGTAATTTCCCCTGATGTACTGTGCAAAATGACGCCAAGCACTCGGCTCGTTAGAAAGTACACAACTAGAGCTACGGGTTCACTATTTGGTAACAGAATGTTGGTAACTCTTTCTGTGCCAGGGCTCGACCTATCGTTGATATGGTATCATCTCCCTGACAAAGTAGACTTTTTAAAACTCGATGAAATGACCCTTTATAATTATGTGAACTTGAGATTTTTTGGACGCAATTTTGTTATACATTTTTTTGGTTTTGTCTTTCCGTCGATGTATAACATATCGACGGTGCTTTATTTGACAAAATAGGGCCAATAACTCACCAATCTTTGTAATAATTATGTAACCTTCAACCTTTCACTAACAACACACAGATCTGAAACAACCATGAAACATCCATTTGTGAGGCAGCGTGGTGGAATCAGGCTCTCGTCAAAATAATCTAAGTGAAAAAAACTTGCATTTTTCCGATGGTTTGTGAATTTTTATCAAATTTTTGTGTTTTGGCTCAACATCTTTCATGCCCATTAAAGAACTCATTTCTGTGTAGATTTTCTGAAAAACGTTGATTAAAGGCACAAAAACGTCAATTTTTAGTTACCACGGACTCTTAAGCAAAGGAAATAACTAATCTTTGGTGGCCATTTTCTCACTAATTTTACCTCTGAAAACAGTTGACCCTTACCTCCTTCTTTTGCAAATATCTCGACCTGTATTTAAGATAAATGGATATTATTTTTTCATCCAAATAAAGACAAGTGAACAAGTTTTAAGACGATACAAATGACTCTACACGCCCCAAAATTGACGAGAGCCTGATTCCACCACGCTGCCTCACATTTGGTACGGAAAGAATCCAGACGGACAGACAGGATCACCAACGAGGAAGTATGAAGAAGAATGAGACAGAGCCCAGTCAGAGATGAGATGAAAAGAAGACGTTGGCGATGGATTGGACACAATTTCACGAAGTCAAACAGCTGCATATCACGGAAAGTGCTAGATTGGAACCCACAGGGTAACAGATCAAGGGGAAGACCACGTGGAACCTGGAGAAGAGTCATGGAAATGGTTGTACAGAAAAGTGGAAAGACATGGAGTGACATCAAGCGACTAGCCCAGGATAGGGAAAGATGGAAAGTGTTTGTTCGTGGCCTATATCCTGATCCAGGGTGAGAAAGACAATGATGATGAGGGAAAGAGTTAAAATGCTATACCTAGCTGTTGGCGCTTTCTGTTATCTGTTATGTCTGTTAGTTTTACAAGCAATTTTGTAAGTACACGCCTCACCACTGGGTGTGTTGTTTTTTTTGGGGTTTTGTTTTGTATTTTTGTTTATTCGTTGTTTTGTCTGAACGAATTGACACTTCCTATTGGCTGATCAGGAGGTTACTTGAACTTATTGAGCCGTGTATATATTTTGATTGGACTCTTTGGGTTTATCATATTAATGTGTTCTGCTTTTTTGTGCTTTTGTTAGAACGTTTGAGTTGGGTATTTTTGACATTCGCTCAAAACAGTGTTCGCGTATCATATTATTATACATGAGATAATACAGGAAGAGAAATAAATACATTAACGGATAGCCAGCGAGACAGAAAGGCGAAAAGACAGAGACAGAGCAAAATGAAGAATGAAAGAAAGGAAAAGCGGGATGAAAGGTAACGATAGAAAAAGATTTATATTTTGTCGTAAAGGAGAGAGAGAAAGAGAGAGAGAGAGAGAGAGAGAGAGAGAGAGAGAGAGAGAGAGAGAGAGAGAGAGAGAGAGAGAGAGAGGGAGAGAGACAAAGGGAGGGAGAGATAGATAGCGAGAGAGACTGAGAAAGAGTGAGTAAGAGACAGACAGATAGATAGACAGATAGATAGACAAATAGATACATACATACATACATACATACATACATACATACATACATACATACATACATACATACATACATACATACATACATACATACATACATAGATAGATAGATAGATAGATAGATAGATAGATAGATAGATAGATAGATAGATAGATAGATAGATAGATAGATAGATAGATAGATAGATAGATAGATAGACAGAGAGAGAGAGAGAGAGAGAGAGAGAGAGAGAGAGAGACAGACAGACAGACAGACAGACAGACAGACAGACAGACAGACAGACAGACAGACAGACAGAGAGAAAGAAGGGAGGATTGTGATCTACAAAAGTTTGAATGTGCCTATCACCAACGTCTTTATCGGTCAATCAAATCTTACCCTTTGCCCTCCAACCATACCCTTACATCCCAATGAACAAAATACCACAACAAAGAACAGACGACAAACAACATCACTCCAATTAGCTGTTCACATAATATAATATTATAAATATTATAATAGGCTAATAATTTTGAAAAAAAAATATTAAGCAATTTCTTAACCAGTGTTATCAGTTGCATGTACTCAAAAAATAGTACGTCGAAATTCAAATTGAAAGAAAGCGAAACAAATAAATTTTTAAAAAATAAAATAAAAACATAAAAACGATACATAATGAAGGTGCATAACTTTCTTTAAAAATGAAACAGTTTTTTTCTGCTTTCCTGTAAAAAATTAATTTGCTTTGTGGCCCTAGAATATTAGAACAGTTTGCTGATAAACTTAACTCTATCCGTACGCCATGGGGTCTTTTTCATACTGCCGGGGTCGTATCATCCACATTTTTGAATACTTCTACTACGAAGTTCTCTTTGAAAATTTCAGTATTTTTCAAACAGACAACTATGTAAAGCGTACGGATCGGATTAACTAGTAAATTTCCTCTTTGAAAGTGGTGGCACAGAATTCCCCACATCGTATGTATACGGTAGTAAAACACGACGTACGGATAGGGTTAATCAGTGATATAGCCTGCGTGTGATCAAGAAATAGTACGTGGAAATTCAAATTGAAAGAAAGCAAAAAACTGTACATCTTTAAACATGAAACAGTTTTTTTCCAGCTTTCCTGAAAAGATTAATTTTCTTTGTGGCCCAAGAATATTAGAACAGCTCGCTGATTAGCTGAATAAAATAAAATAATTAATACCTTTAGCTAGGATGGGACTGGCGTGCGGATTCTTGTTCTTCTTCTCAAGGGATGAGCAGTTCCAGCGGTGAGTCCTGAGCTGGAACTGACACTCGTGGATAGCGATCTGCACGCCCTGAATGGCCGAGGCGGTGACGTCAGGGTACTTCCGGCACAGGTTGTACTGCTGGGAGGACAGTTCCGGGTAGGTTTTGCACACGGTGTTGGGGTCAAGGACAGGTTCCTTCTTGATGTTCAGACGGAGAATGTTGTTTCCGGAGCCCCTGGGGAGAGTGTGGGTTGTAGGTGTGAAGAGAAGCATGTCGACACAGTAGGTGTAAAGAGAAGCATTTATCGACACAGTAGGTATAAAGAGAGACATATCGACAGAGTAGTGGTCTGTTAGAGTGGTCTTTTAGAGAAGCATATGACACAGTAGTGGTCTTTTAGAGTTGTCTATTAGAGAAGCATTTATCGACACAGTAGTGGTCTGTTAGAGTGCTCTTTTAGAGAAGCATTTATCGACAGAGTAGTGGTCTGTTAGAGTGGTCTTTTAGAGAAGCATTTATAGACAGAGTAGTGGTCTGTTAGAGTGCTCTTTTAGAGAAGCATTTATCTACACAGTAGTGGTCTGTTAGAGTGCTCTTTTAGAGAAGCATTTATCGACACAGTAGTTGTCTGTTAGAGTGGTCTTTTAGAGAAGCATTTATCGACACAGTAGTGGCCTGTTAGAGTGGTATTTTAGAGAAGCATTTATCGACAGAGTAGTGGTCTGTTAGAGTGGTCTTTTAGAGAAGCATTTATCGACACAGTAGTGGTCTGTTAGAGTGCTCTTTTAGAGAAGCATTTATCGACACAGTAGTGGCCTGTTAGAGTGGTATTTTAGAGAAGCATTTATCGACAGAGTAGTGGTCTGTTAGAGTGGTCTTTTAGAGAAGCATTTATCGACACAGTAGTGGTCTGTTAGAGTGGTCTTTTAGAGAAGCATTTATCGACACAGTAGTGGTCTGTTAGAGTGGTCTTTTAGAGAAGCATTTATCGACACAGTAGTGGTCTGTTGGGGAGTGGTCTTTTAGAGAAGCATTTATCGACACAGTAGTGGTTTTTTTGTCACTTTTAAGCACAAGGAGACTATCCCGAAAAAAGCTGTTTTAAGAAAATTGAAAGTAAAGTTTTTGCCCCTTGTTCAGTTTTTTTTTTTAAAGACAAGGATTGTTTTTTTCTGTAACCAAATAAATATACAAAATAATGAAAATAAACTGCTCCTATAGGTAGGGCAATGCCCACTTTTGGTGTAGGTCAAGATTTCAGGAAATCCATGAAATCTGGATTTGGCCGCTTATCCTTAAAAGCGACCATGTAGTGGTCTTTTAGAGAATATCCACACAGTGGTGGTCTTCTAGAGAATATGGACACAGTAGTGGTCTTTTAGAGAAGCATTTATCGACACAGTAGTCGTCTTTTAGAGCTACATAAGTTTGTACTGGTCATTAAAATGTTTATATAAGTATATCTGCTTGTGTTTTTACGTTCCGGTACAGTCTAAAAAAAATTTCCCTCTGGGATAATAAAGTATTATCTTCTCTTATCGTATCTTATCTTAGTGAATAATGAATCATTTTCGTGAGCGTTTTACAGCCTTTACACACAAGAACCAGAAATAAAAAAACAAAAACTGACTCGCACTCAAACCACAGTTGGCCGATTTTACGGACAAACGGGCTAACCCAGATTTCGGAGATTTTCAGAAATCTTGGCCTTTACCAAAAGTGGGCATTGCCCTACCTATTAGTTTTTTGTTTAGTAGTATAGGGTTTTACGGCGCTCGCAACTGCTAGAAGAAGTTAGGTTTCATTGGTACGCATATTGGTTTAGTTATAGAGAAAACTCTCCTTTTCTTTAAAAAAACTGAACAAAGGGTAAAAACTTTACCTTCGATTTTCTCAAAACAGCATTTTTCGGGATCGTCCCCTTGGGCTTAAAAGCGACGATTTCTCCCTTCCCTTCCCCACAACCACTCCCATACAACCTTCCTCAAACCACAGTTCTCCCATCCCTTCCCCAAAAGACTCCCCAAGAACTCACCCACTTTCCAGCACCGCGACTGTTAGAATGATGAATGTCGTCACGAGATGATGATGCATATTTCCCGTCTACCCTGTGCTCAGTAGCGTGTCCCCCCTCCGGGATCTCATTGCTCCGGGTGGCTGATGTGCCCTGAACACGTGATCTCTGGCTCCCACGTGACCGCTAGCCTTGTTTTCATTGGACCAAACCTCAGATTAATTATTTCTTACCATTTCTGTTTGAGCACACACACACAATTAAATCCGTGAGCCAAAGACACAGCAGTATCCTTTCCAAGAAGCAGTATCCTTTCCAAGAATTGGGGACAACACTGTTAGAAAAAGCTGCTATCAAGAATAATCCAGAACTTTATTTTGTTGAGTTCGCTGCTTCGGTTAAATTGTCCTCTCAATACAGAAGGAAGAATTCTTTATCTCTCTCACTGCATGTCCTGAAAAGAAGAAAAGGTATTTAAAGTGAAATAAGAATAATAGCATTCCAGTATTTCATGTTTTGTGTTGGTGTTTGTGTTTTAAAAATCCCAGAAATATAACAGCACGCTGATAAAGCTAAAGTATATTGTAGAAATAAAATGGGCATCGATCTACAAGAATACGAGATCGAGAAAGTTGTTGTTTTATTAAAATTTTAGTTAGAGCTTATTGTTTTATCTGTTTGTTTGAATAAAGATAAAAATATTGACGCAACAGACATAGGTCATTTGTGAGGCAGCGTGGTGGAATCAGGCTCTCGTCAATTTTTGGGCATGTAGAGTTATTGGTATCATCTTAAAGCATGTTCAGTTGTCTTTTTAGTGCGAAAATAGTATCCATTTATCTTGAATACAAGTCGACATATTTGAGAATGAAGGAGGTGGGGGTCCCCCGTTTTCAAGGTTAAAATTAGTGAGAAAATGACCTCCAAAGATTAGTTATTTCCTTAGTTTAAGAGTCCGTGTTAACTGAAAATTTACCATTTTTTGTGCCTTTAATCAACGTTTTTATGAAAAGTCCACAAAGAAATGAGTTCTTTATTGGGCATGAAAGGTGTTGGGCCAAAAAACAGAAATTTGATAAAAATTCACAAACCTGCGGTAAAATGCCAGTTTCTTCACTTTGATTATTTTGACGAGAGCCTGATTCCACCACACTGCCTCACATTTGGTGTGAACCAAAAGTAAAACAGAGAGACAAAAAAAATAATAACCAGAGGGAAAAGAAAGTCTGAACTCTCCAAATAGCCCAGGGCCAAGAACGACCCGTTTGAGATGAGAACCGTGGTCATCCGCACTATATTATTATAGCCCAACATGATAGTCAGATAAACCACAGAGGTCACAGTTCGGATAACCAGCTAAGAGTATCTAAAAATATAACGACAATGATTTGGTCGATTTTAAGCACAAGGGGGCTATCCTGCAAAATGCTGTTTTGACAAAATCGAAGGTAAAGTGGTTGCCCCTTGCTCAGTTTCTTAAAATGATAAGGATAATTTTCTCTATAACCAAACAAATATATACACCAATGAAACCAAACTCCTCCTATTGGTATAGCAATGCCCACATTTGGTGAAGGTCAAGATTTCTGGAAACCCATGAAATCTGGGTTAGCCGGCTTGTCGTTCAAAGCGACCAATTATTACATCGATTTGTCCCGTCTGGAGACAGACTCTAAGCAGTGTGCATTCATTTAAAGAAGACAATACAGAGACACCAATGCACAAACCCTGAGCGAGAAAAAGAATGACTGTGTACATGATCTAAAAAGATGTGTTTTCAAATGGCTTTCAACAGACTCAGGAATGTACGTTTTTCTCAAATTCTCCGAAGCTGTTCCGGTTTTTAGGTCCAGCAAATGCAAAAGATCTTTCACCAATGACTTGGATTTCATCCTGGGTATTCTTAATTTAGTGGCGTTAGTTGATGGCAACAGATTTCCGAGTGGATTCGCAGTTCTTTTAAACATTATGGTGGTACATCGTCGTGTTGTTCAAACATTTCTGAGTGTAGAATTTGAAAGAATTTCAAGACAGGAGTTATTGGGATACCCACATGGCGCCGTATTTCTACCGTGAGGGTGGAGGGAGTAGTATTTCAGAAAAAAGGTGGGGGGAGAGGAGGGGGGAGGTATCGGAAAGTAACGAATTAGGACAGTGTATACAGAAAGGGATGGGCAAGAAGGTGAGATGGAAACGAGATGTATTCTCCGAATGTCCGAGCCGTGAGTGGGATAAACATAGTTAAGGGGGACATGTGGTTTACGGCAGGCTTGTTTAGGCGTTTGGGAGTTTGGGAGTTTGGGAGTCCGGCAGCACGTGTGATGTATGAGCTGGTGAGTTGGGCGAAGGCTGGGAGGGTATCATGGAGGCAGCGAAGGTAAATCGAATGAGGGTCCGAAACGGTACTGGCTAATTTTCTTCATAACAATTTCGGCTTACCCTAACATTAAAAAGGATTATGAAGGGTTGGTTTGTCTCCGTCTCTGTCTCTGTCTCTGTCTCTGTCTCTGTCTCTGTCTCTGTCTCTGTCTCTGTCTCTCTCTCTCTCTCTGTCTCTCTCTCTCTGTCTCTCTCTCTCTGTCTCTCTCTCTGTATCTCTCTGTATCTCTCTGTATGTCTGTCTGTCTCTCTTTCTTTCGTTCTCCCTTGACTATCTTTCTTCCTTTATTTCCTACTCTCTTATTCCTCTCCAACCCTCTATACCTCTCTCCCATTCTCTCTCTCTTCCCATCTCTCTCTTTGCTTCTCTCTCTGTCTCTCTCTCTGTCTCTCTCTGTCTATCTCCGCCTCTCCCTTTATCTTTCTTTATCTCTCTGTCTCTCTCTCCCCTTCTCTCTATTCCTCTCTATCTCAATCTCGTCCTCTCTTTCGCTCCCTCATTCCACCCGCGTCTCTCTTTCTCTCTCTC